TTTCATCCCAGCAACCTTTTTGCTTTCCCTCCCACTCTCACACACCCTCCCCCTGAAGCAGCTGGTATAGTGGCTATTTTGGTATCATATTGTTTCAATTTCAATTCACAATTATTTCTTACTATACTGTAACCCTAATTGTTCCAGATACAGTGTATCACAATTTCATGTATTTTCATGGTCCTGGAAATTTTAACAAAGAGTTCATACATCAAGGAAATGAAGAAAAATTTCCAATTAAGTGTCTATAACTTCAATTATTTGGCCTGTTATTGTACTGGTACTCACACTATGAAAGTTTCTGTGGTTTGAATGATTCCTTTACTGTAAAATTTTGCTTCAATTTTGGAGTAGATCGACTGAAACCCTGGGGTGGTCTAGCATGGGATTCTAGTGCTGATTGTCATCATTACTTTATCCTGCCAAAGTGATATTGAGATTTCAAAGGAAGGCATTGTTTGCTGTCCAGCCTCATCAGGATGACCAAGAACCCTTATAGTGTTACACAACAAGGCAAAGAACATATGGGTCCTCCTGGTTTTATTTCACCCTGGGTCCACCAGAAAAAGAAGAATTGCTTTGACAATGGCACATCTACAGTACAACTATTAATTCACCATCACCATGAGGAACAACCCAGGCATTTCCATGCAGTACCAAGAAGCCAACAACGCCTGGTTTTGCTGCCATTCATAAAAAGTTGGTTGATGATGAGGAGTTTTGCTTTTGAAAAGGTCAAATAAATATGTGCAGAAACCTGAGTTCCATTGTATAAAAAAAAATCAACTCCAGAATGTAGTATGTGAGCTTTGATAGGTGTGAAGCTTGAGTTTCATTTATGTGCAGGTGACATCTATACACCAGGGCTCTTGAATCCTTTCTCTTCTGATGAACTCTTCACTTCCACACATGCAAACATTTGTTTCATTGAATCTCCCCTGGGTACCAATCATCAAAAAAATATTGTTCAACTGCAAGTGTGGATCAAATACTGTGCTTGGAACATATACTTTATTTCACTTAAATAAAAAAGCAGGACCATTTAACAATGCATGAATGATTATATATTTTTAATCCAAGGCTCCCTCATTATTAATGCCCTTGAAGGCTATATTTTTTACTGTGATATATTATTTGTGTGAAAGCATTGGTCCGTTGAGACTAAGAAAATTGAAGATAATCACAAGACAACTGAATGTGTACAGTATTCAAAGTTTCCAGCATTGTTGTGTCGATTGATTTATGGATATTGTGGGACCTTGAAGTTTTTTATTACTGTACAATTAAAAATGTATTATAATTGTATGTGTATTTGTTTTAATTGAATTTACCTATAATCCCTATAGAGTATGTACATGTTTTGTAATATAGAGTTTTAGTTGATAATTTGATTTGATTGAGTGATTCTAGTGACATCTAGGTTTTTGAAAACAAGTAATTTGCTGTAGAGACTTCCTAGATGTCATGCATGCAGAGGCCAACTTGGACAATAAATTAAATTCTGTGTTCCCCAAATACAGTAAATGAAATCTTTATTAATTGTTTTTACAAAAATAATTTTTTTCAATACAATAGAAAATTGTCTTGACATCACTTTCAGCAGGATAATGGCTCATATGAACATTAGCATTAATTATAAAAGGGAAATTGAGTCCACCATCCCAGACAGTTCTTTTGAAGAGATTGAAAAATGAAGTGCAGCGTAGCACACAAAGAGTACTTGTTAAATTCTGAAGCAGCAGAAATGTTTTGAGATACATTTTCAATAGAATGCAATTCAAATAAAACACAGCATTTCAGTCATAGCAAATAATTCATGGTTTTCCCCAACACAAAATCAGTAGCCCTTGGAAGAGAAGCTAATTTGCAGCAATAATTGGGAACCAAAAGGAAAAAGCAACAGCCAATGAGAGAAGTTGCTGATGACTCTTTTCAAAGATTACATAAAATAAAAAAGAACTTCCTGCACAAGCAAAAAATAGTTGAAATCACCAGTTGTGCAACATTCAATCACAGCCAGTTCCTCCTCTTGCCCCTCAGTTTATTCTTTTTTTGTCCACTCCCCAAACTAGTTCTCCATTTTTCAGTGTCCTACAAGAATCAAACTTTGTTTGGCAATCCTCCATTCCAACTCAAAAAAGGACTTGATCTGAAGTTTAATTTTTGCAGTTGCAGAATTTTGTTCTTGTTCAGAAAATCAAACTACAAAATACTGGTTCCATGGCATTATTTATTCTACAAACATGGAAGACATGTTGCTTCATACAACTCTTTTGGCAGAAAGGCAAGGAACATTTGCATCACCTCACAAAATTTGTTTGTTACCAATAAGGATAAAAACATAATTATACTGAACAACAATTCACACCATTAAATATAGTTGAACAAAATCTGGAAATCATGTTTGACAAACTGTATGTTGTTGGCAACTATAAAATTCAAAATGATTCTCACAGATGTTGAAATTATCTCATTTGCAGTATGAGAAAAACTACTCTTGAATCTCATTACAAAAAATTTCGATATAACAAATACTGTGATGTAATTGCTTACAACAAAGTAATTTATTGGATCTATGTCCAATAAGTGCAATTTACAATGAGTTACGCGATGAAAAAAATTTCACTGGAACAAATCCATTTTGCTTTGTTATAACACTATTTTACTGTATTGAACTTAAATGGCCATTTACCACATAAACACATTTATGGCCCTAAATGATTGATATTGCTTTACTTCTTGTTCTTCACATGCAAAAACAATTATATTATTGGGAGTACCAGCAATTGCCAAGCAAAGTTTGACTTTCATGAGTAACTGCATCCTTCAATCAACAACATCTCTTGAACAACCTCACATAACAGAACCAGGGATCACATATAAGAACTGTGTATTTTTTTTTTTTTTGGTTTGAACCTTTCTTTGTCTTCTTCAATGCCATACACAAGATTCTTCAAAGGTGGTCTCAATCCCAGAATCACTGCTGGCAGAGTTAATTTGGGTGTCTGATGACCCAGGTAGTTGTGCTTGACAAAGAAGATCCAATGCTTGGCACAAATGCTTGTTCTCCTCCAACACTGTGTGGATTTCTCTCCTGATCAACATCATTTTCTTGGTCTGCAAGGGTGACATTGGGATCTTGCCACACCTCATATTACTCACCTGCAAAAAATAGAGAAACAGAAATGGCTGTAATGAACTTGTTCAAAGCATTATGGTCATTTGAGCAACAAATTGCTTGTCAATCTCCTTCAAGGCATCATTGCATTATCACTGAATTTATGGCAGTATAAGATTGAATATTCTTCTGTGCTTTACTCCTGCATAGGTATAAAAGAAATTAGCATGGTCTTATTCCACTTGGAGAAGATTATCCTACAAAAACCTAGCAATAGTAGTACAGTGGACCCTATGATTAACAAACTTAATCGGTTCCAGACAAAATTTTGTCATCCAAATTTGATTTCTCCATAGAATTCAATGCAGAACCAATTAATCCATTCCTGGCACCCAAAATACAACTGCAAATTTTTTGGAAACTTTTAGAACATGTTTACAATGTTTTTTACGGTTGCATGGAACTATGGCTAATGGAAACGATCCTGAAAAAGCTTCACATCCATCATGCAGGAAAATATTCACATACGTATGAGCAAGATAACTGCCCCAAAAAAGACATTTTTTCAGCAGTACAACCATGGAAGCAACTATAGAAAAATCATTTACTACTTGTTGAACAAACTTTATGATTGTTTTTTAAGCCATTATTAGAACTGCAACATGGCATTCAACAGTTTGAGGTTATAGCAACATTTAGAATTTTTGTCTGGGTACAACAGTTTGTTGACCAAATTTTGGTTTGTTGCCTGAGGGATTTTTCTTTGAGAACAAAAGCTTGTTAACCAAGGGTTTTTTTAACTGAGGGTTCACTGTAACAGAAGGCATTTGGACCACCGACCACTTACTTGTTCTTCCATCAGTTCAATGCGCCTGTTGAGCTCTGTGCACTCCAGTACAAGCTCTGCCTGTGACATCTTGTTCAGCCACTCAGCATTGAAGCTGCTGGTGAACTCATCATCACTAGGTGAAGACTTCAGGGAGTCATCATCCTCCTCCTCCTCCTCCAGGCTCACACTTGGCTCCTTTTTCCGCAACCTCACACTCGGTTTGAACTCGCCTTTGTACTCCAGCCCATGATCGCTCATGAGAAACTGTGTTGTGTTGTATGGTGCCAGGGGCTTGCCCTGACAGGGCCTCCATTTCCTCCACCGTTTCCACCTCAATCGCTTCACCAATAGCTCCTTTCTCCGCGGCGGCTCAACCCGCACTGTGTCTGCTTTGCCTTTGCTGCCCCAGCACACCTCCTTCTCCTTGCTGGGCGCAGACAGACGCAAACTCACTCCGCACTTCCTTATGCCCACCCGCACACCACGCTTCAGCGTTGGATCAGGGCACGCGCAGCAGTCCCTCCCTAGCACTCGTACACTAGTAGTCATGTCTCCTGTTCACTCTCGAATTCCCTCCGTCAGTTCCCGCGATGTGCGCATCCACGTCCTGCACGCGCGATCATCTCTGGCCTACTGAGGGGCATTGAGTAGAAAGCCTGGGGAGTACAGCATTGAAGCAAGCGCGGCAACCGGCGCGAAATTTCGCCCCCTCCCGAATAGAAAATCTTTTAATATTTCTCCTAGGTGTCGCTCTAAACCGCCTGCTTTTATCGTCATTCCCCATACTGTACAGTATGGGGCAATGGGTGCAACAATTGCGTCCGCACAGGATGAAGTGGTGGAAAGAAAGTGGAAGAGAAATTTTCAAATTGCGCAAGCTGGATGAGAGGGAATGACCCAGTGTCAGGTCAGTAAACTTTGGAAGCGAACAGGAAGGTCACACACAGCATCAAGCACTGGCTTCTGCAAGCCAGGTCACCTCCTAGTACTCATGGCATCATACAATTTCAGCCAACGTTTTGTGTTGTGCAGTAATTTTATGGGGTGAATAGCTCCTTTTGTTGATTTTTCAAATCAACCCAAGATGAATATTCTACTGCGTTTCTTCATCGGATATTGGTAGAATTTGTTCTTCTGAAGTATAATTTAAAAAATAATAAACTAAAAGAATGGGGTTGGCTGGAATCTGGGTTTGAATCAACCTAAACCAAGATCTTTAGAAGTCACTGCTTGGCAAAATCATGGAGCTTAAGCAGTTTTTATAAACAAAAAGGCTCTTTGACTTCAATGGATTTGTTTTCCGAAGCAGGAAAGCCAATGAAATCAAGTCTAGAATTGTCCAAGTATTATTCTTTTTAATGTGACATACAGAACTAGAAGATTTTTATAGCAGATTTTACTATCTGATATAAGAGTCCTTGGTTTCGCCTGCGTTTTGGTGTTCCCAACTTCCTTTTTTGCGTCGTAGTTTCAGTCCCCCCCCCCCTTTCCCCCATTCCCCCCACCCAAAAAGCGCAATGTAATGAATTGAAACAGCCGTTTGTACCATCTTGGGTCCCTTGCATAGGACAGGTCTGCTGGGACACAACATGAATTTCTACACTATTGTGCAGTATCATGAACAAGAAATTTGCCATTCACCAGATCCTTTTATGAAACTGTCTCTCTATTTGAATGCTTGCCAGTATAATGAGTAGGGATACTGCCAAACTTTATGCCAATTTTGATTTGAGTACTGCATGTAAGTAGTGTTTTCCTTTAAACTGTAAATTTTAGGGTAATATTTGGTACCATAGTTCTTCTAGATTCTAGACCTTCTATGGCAAATTATTTCTCCGATTTTTATTCTTTAGGCGGTTATACCAACATATGCCAAATAGTTTTCTTGATACATATATGCAGGTCAAAAGATGGTTTTAACTTCCAAAGTCTGATTGTTTAAAAGTGTTTCATGTGAGCCAAAAAACGACACCCTATAAAATATTAAGATGAGCATCTGGCCCAATCTTCAAAATTCCTTATGCAGTTCCTGTTCAGTTGTGCCTTCCCTCAAACAAACACACCCTAAAATTTTGATTTTTTTAACATACTGTATCTCAAAATGTCAGAATTTTTCCAGATGCCAAGGAGTGTAACTCTTAAATGTTTTGAACTAATACATTTTCAAAGGGCTGTGAGTTTCTCTTATACTTCACCAAAAAAAATTTTGGATTTTTAGGCCAAGTATAAACATTTAATGACAAATTTTCTTGATTTTCTTGGTCACTTTCAATATTTTGGAATTTATGATTATTATTTCTGTATTTTCTTGAAGAAAAAGAGGTGATTTGGTTTACAAATTTCGTTCAGGAACTGATTTTAAGTTCCTAAACCAAAACCCCACTGTGCTGTAAATAGACGTCACTGGGGTCCGAAGGAAGAAGCGTATGACTGTATGAAGTGCTGCTGCTGCTGCTGGCGCGCGACGCAGTACAGAGGAAGATGAATAAAGTGAATGCACTATAGGAAAGCATAAACGGAGAACGGGGGAAACAAGCAGGAACACCAGGGACAGACGGACAGGGAACCTTCTGCTTTGAAAACCGGTGCCGTCTGTCTCTCAATCTCTTTGGACTGAGCTCCGGGGCCCCCTCCACTAATATGGATCACTGGTGTAACTTATTATTCCCGCAGACTCATCACTCAAAACTTTTAAATTTTTACTTTATTTTATTTCCTCTTTCCATTGTACCAATGGGCTGAGTGAGAAGGTGTTGATTACCTTGTGAGTATCGGTTTCACGCATCTAAGGAAACGTCTGTCAAGATTCATAATAAACTTCAGAGCAAAGTACTGTACTATACATATATTCAATTTATTCCTGGACTGTCTGTTGTGGTGATGCGCAGCATGAAGTCAATAAAACCATGTCACAGAGCCTTTGTCCTGTGAAACTGTGAAAATTGTTTATTGTGACAGAATTATCAGTATTTCAAGAACCAGTAATATGCAATATGCTGTATCAGCAGAGAGCTGAAAAGTTTATTTAGCATTGCTTCCTGCAGACTTGTTCTGAAAAAGCAATGTTTAATCTCATCATGGTTCATTCCTAAAAAAAAAAGGAGAGCCACCATGAATTCATCAAAACTTGGTCAAATAATTGTCAGGATGGGTGATATACACACAGAGGGACCCAAAGATGCAGCTGTAATTTATTTCCACCCTGTTACCCATGGTTGGAAGCTGAATGTCAGATCACATTTTTCTGTAGACTTCTATTGGAAATCTTGATCAGTCATATTTGAAAAAACAAATTGAAAAAGTTCTTGAAATATTTAGTAAAAATAACTCAACTAAAAATGTTGTAAATATATGTGGAAAGCAGCCAACACTGTCCTTTTTGCATCTGAAAGATGAGACAACAAGAACTACAAAACAAGCACACAGATTTCTGAGCTATTCTAATACTTGATGGAACCCCCTCCCCCCCCTTTAAAGGAAGCAGAATTAGCTTGTTTGAGAAAATAAATTAGAGTAAATGTATATGATTAATTTGACTGCATGCTGGCCATGGTACTGCAAGGGGTTTACAAACTTAATCTACTCCTGAGCAAAGTTTGTTAACCAAATTTTGTTCTCCCTTTTGGAGGAACAGACATTTTTTTTATTGCTTTCCATTCCAAGAAATGTATAGGATCATGAAAATTGAAAAAAATCTGTCATAAAATTTAGACTGGGCCTAATATACAAGAAATTCACTTGATCAAGTATGAGAGAAACTCACTGAATGAGAACAGCCCTTTATAAATTTTTTATTTAAAAAGATTTGAGAGTTGTCACTCTTGGTCATCTGGAAAAATTCAGAAATTTCTAGAAATGTAAAAAATCAAATTTTAGTGTGTATGTTTGTGGGAATGATTTCAATCAAAGAATGAAATGGACCTGGATAATAAATTTAAATTTTAAAAATTGAGTCAGATGTTCTTGTCAATATTTTATGTGATGTAATTTTGTGGCTCACATGAAACATTTTCAAATGATCAAGATTTGGAAATTAAAGCCTCTTCTCAATTGTTTTAGGCAGAATTTCTGACAGAAAAGTTTTTCTATGAATGTTTCAAGTTTTAATTGTACCTGATTGCTCACTTTGCAAGTCATGGTGTCCATATGTCGGCGTTTCAATGCCCTTTTGGAAGAGAGGCATTTGTGAAGTACCTTAGCACAGTTTTCTGTATTATTTCCTACCTATTTCACCCTCACATGGTCTCTCCCCTTGTGCTGTGAAAGGCATGCACACAAACCCACATGTGTACAGCATGGACTTCAGCTGCTTCTTCCCATCTTGTTCCTTCCTTCCTTTTTATACATCATTTCTTCATATATTCCATTTCCATCCTTCTGTTTGGGGCTTCTACTGTGTTACATCCCCTTTTTCATCCCAGCAACCTTTTTGCTTTCCCTCCCACTCTCACACACCCTCCCCCTGAAGCAGCTGGTATAGTGGCTATTTTGGTATCATATTGTTTCAATTTCAATTCACAATTATTTCTTACTATACATTACACTGGACACTTGTTTAATAAACTGGTTAAAAGCTTTTCAGTTGAAACATTTTTTTATGGGGGAAAATTCCAAATTTGATAAATTGAAATTTTATTTCAAGGATGAAATGTATGGCAAGTGCAATTACTTCACTTATGAATTGGTCTGGGAGTTCTTCCCTTCTGGAGCTCTGATATGTGTAATCTTGTGTATTTGTTTCAGCTACATTATTCATACATAATTTTATGTGTCATATTATTTGCTTTTCATGCTTGGTTTTTTTGAGTTTTTCATTTGTTAAAAACAACTATTTGATTTTTCTATTACTGGTGGTGCCTCAAAACTTTACCACCACTCAAAATGTCTGTCCCACAATTTGACAGTCAAATTTTGAAGTATCTCAACTTGCAATTTGACCCACAGAGAGGCGCAAAACATCAAATAAAATGCAGAAAACATCACATTTGGCATTGCTTTACTGTTGGATAACTCACAATTTGACTCTAGTCCAGCAATGTGATACCTCTACTTGCAGCATAAAGGAAAATATAATTTTCTTCTGACATGTATGCTTCATCATGTTTGTCTTGATGATCCATATAACCTGCACATAACACTGTATATAAACATTCTGGACACCTAGAAGAAACAGTAATACAACTTATTTTGACTAGAGTTGATAACTTTGAATATTTTATATTTAATCTTCATTTGTCTTTTGGGCTCCTTGAACTGTTTAAATGATTTTCCTTTGAAGTTTTTGGGAAAATAAAATTTGATTTACAAATTTTTGTCTGGAACCAATCAAGTTCCTTAACCAATGGTCCACTATATTAAGGTTTCTTTTTTTTTCTCTCTGGAGTTTGACCTGTCCTGGGAACAAGAAGAGATGAGTATCTACTGCATCTATAACCCCAACAGGAAACCGTTGAATTATTCAGCAGTGTTTTATACTGTACTGCAATGTTGGGCTATACTTGGCCTCATCCTCTCCAGCAGTTGCTCTCCTATATTCCCTCATTCTCCTCAGTCCCTCCCTCCTCCCTCTCACTCACTCCCCCGGGTCTGGGTTGTGTGCATAAGGGGTCGCCAGCACAGTTGCATCACGTCCGCGTGACCGGAGTCAATGGG